AAATCAATCGGTAATTCATAAACCTAATAGTTTATCCACTAAATTCATAAACCCATTAGGGATAACCCACCGAAAACTCATTTATTTATAAGGGATAACCTAATAGTTTGTCAGCAAATGTAGTCTCAGCGTCAAACTCATCGTCGCCAAGGCTCCCATCTCTGTGCCATCCTATAATTACAAAATGATTCAAATGAGGAATAACTCAAATGGTTGAAACAAACATACGAAAATGAAAGTTGGAAATATAAGCAGAAAGCAACTGACGTTTTGTTTTCTTATCGCGAGGCTTTTTTCCTCGACCAGGTGGAGATTTCTTCTTAATATGCCTGTCCCGAATCGCCCGATTTGGCTTTCCAAACTGCCACTCATTCTACTTACAAGCAAAGACAATACATAAACATTACGTTATCTACTATTTTGATATGTATTTGTAACCAATCCACGAATACGTTATAAAGCATTTTGAACAATGACATGAACAAAGAATCCACCTGAAGAAAATCTCTACTTCCTCTCGTGTGGAAGAGAAGATTGTTTAGAGCCTTTTTAGCATCAGATGCTTCTCCTTAACGGTACATGTGAGAATCTTACAGAGTTCTGGGATCAACATTTGCGAATTTTAGAGTTTGAAAATTCAAAGCAAGTTACACAACTCTTCCTCAATAACAGTTCCTATTCTTGAGTGAATCAATGATTCTTAATCAAAAATTTCATAAATTTGAAGCATTAGTGTTGTTCGAAGAATTTCACATCACACATAAAGCTCACAAACTTGCATACCTTTGAAGCTCGTTCGTCTTCAAAAACTTTACCACCCTGCGGAAAAATCGATCTAAGCATCAAAACGTCTAGCAACCCTGAGCACCTGCATTTGATATACACCCTAACAAATGTTCATAAATCTATAAATAACAACATACAAACATAACATAGGGTTAATTTTACATATTGATTGCTTCTTTCAGATCTTCGGTTGCTTACTTCGCCTCTTGGAGAGAAGGAGGTTTACTGAAAACAACCTTAGGAATCAGCTCCTCTTTGACAAAATCCCAATCGTCCCAAACCAGCCTATGCATAATCATCGAGCCTTCTTCGATGGAAGGATGAGCAACCGATGAAATCGAAGCCGTAACCGGCTTAGACACGGCGGTGTTTTTGACCATAAACTTCTTACTCGCCGGAGAAAGCGCCGCCGCCGCAAACCCGAATCCTCCTTTCGAGACTCCGATTCCAGCCACCTTCGCTGCCGTCGCCATAGCTCTTCCTCCTCCCATGGTTTAATCGATACACAGTTCAAGCAATAGACTCACATGGGAATTAAGGATTTCGCTTGAATAATCCAAATAATAATCACATGAAGAGAAATCGAGAGAGAGATTGTGTGAGAGAGATCTTCTTCTCACGAAGAAGAAGAATGGAAGTTTGCGACCCTTCTCTTTTTTTCTCTATGATAATTACACTTTTGCCATTAATGAAACCGGGTCAATCGAACCGGGTCGTGCAGATCCGCGTGCCCCAATCGGATCCAGTTCCAAAAATATCTGAAATTAATCTGATAGTTACTGAAATTGCCACTGCATATGTCCAAAATTACTCTTTTCAATTGAATCTATTTAGTTAAAAGGCAATGACAATTTCAGTAATATGTGAATCAATTTTGGACATTGTGCTAAATGTACTTCTTTTTTAATATTATAGAGATAGTAAGGTTTTTTCTAATCCAAATGATGAGACAC